CCACAGGCCAAAGCGCCTTGCACATATTGATCGACGATTGGAGCCACACTGCTGAGACCCGCTGAATAGAGCAACTGCAGCTCTGCCTGAAGTGGTTTAACCAACCAGTGTTCGATTGCCTCCAAGAGAGCTGGTTCGGAAACCCAGGTTTTTGCATGCTTCCGTGCCTTTTCGGTCCAGTCTTGCATGGTTTCTGGCAGCACTTTGTCTTTGCCGACAGAAACCTGGCTGAAAGCCGGCTGCTTCATAAAAACGAATCGCATCATGGAAGCTAGCAGCGATGTCGCTTTGCTGTAATCAGCGATCAAAGCTTGCACTGCAGGCAGGCTCTGCCAGAGCTTGTTCTCAACGAAAGCGACAGCGGAAAAACCACTGAGGAACTCGTCCAAATTGATGATGGCCGTGCCTGACCCGACTGGGCCAGAGGCCGGAACGTCTGCATCTGCTTGCTGCGGAAGCTTCACCATGCAGTTGTTCTTCAGCGCCTCAAAACCCACAGTCCTTACACATGGCTGATAAGCTTTGCCCTTTGCGACGTTTGGGCTTTGGCTTGGTGCGACTATGAGTTCTAGACCCGCCAATGATTTGGACGCTAAACCCCCGATCTTGTGGAAAAATGTGGTACGATCTGTATCTATATCTATATCTATATCTATACATCCGAACACAGTGGTTAAACGCAGCTACTGGGAAACAGCCAAGGCGCAGGTGCTCGGAGATGTTCATGTTGAGTTCGTCTTGCACCATGGTGACCGCGATTTTTGACAGGCGCCCAGCGCAGGATTGCACTGTCTCAACAGCACTCATGCCGGTCTCGCTATCAGCCTTCTGCGCGGCCTTGCGCTTCAAGAAAGCGCAAGCCTGCAACTCCTCCATGGCTTTGACCGCCGGGCTGAGGTCGCTAACGATAAATGCAATTCCCTGGCTTTTTGCCGCCGTTCTGTGCGTGATCTCCTTGGCTGCCTGTTGCAGCCTTTCCAACGGCGCCTGCAAAGCTTTCAGCAACTCCTGGTAGTCGGCCTCTGCTTGCCCATGTTCCACTCTATCAGTGGCGAGAGCCACCAGAGCTTTGCCAATATCATGCTAGATGAAAAAACGCGTCATGCCATCCAACTTTTCCAGCTGCTCGGAAGCGACTCCCTGAATCTTCTGGACGTTGTCTCGGAGACTTGCCATGTCCTTCATGTCCAGAAAAGAGAAGGCTACGGACACGGAGTCTGCGATGCTGCTTGCAAGGAACCCTTTGGCCTCAGACGCACGCGCAATGCAAGCGGCCAGCTGGCTTGCCTCATGCAAAGTCGGGGTCTCAGACTCAGGATCTGCAATGTGGACAAACCCCGAGGACTTCAGCTTCAACTCTGTCATGCAAATATTTCGCATGGCTGAAGGCAGCCGATTCTCGATCTCAGCAGATACGGCAAGGCGTAGCTGATCCATGGTTACGGATGAGCTGAGGATGTCCTGGGCATCGTTGCTGTCCTCGCAGAGGATCTCGCAAAGTCGGTCGTAGTTGCAATGCAAGCATGCTTCGTTGACCTTTGCCAAGAGACACTTCATTGCGAAACCCGGCCCAAGGCCAAAGCCCAGACTTCCCGCGAAGGTTCTGCACTTGTTCAGAGTGCCAAGGAACACTTCGGGATCAGGGGTTGCCACAGGCATCATGCCCAACAGCTCTCCGAGCGCTGTGGCAGCATCGGTGATTTCAGTAAGACCTTGTAGCTGCTCTGCAAAAGCATCTTTGTTGGGGCTTTTTTCCACTTTTTTTCACATGCTCCGAGGCTTGCTTCCTGATCTGGTTGAGCTCGGTGACGCGCTTGAGACAATGTGCGCGATACTCTTTTGAAGCTGCTTGGTTTTGCGACACAGGCTCGTCATCGTAACGGATCTCTTTGAGCTTCTCGGCAAGCTTCGTATTGGCATCGTTGAGGCGACTCCTGATAGGTCAAGCTGAGATTTCCTAGCTTTCGACTTTGCCTTATCAGATTTGGCTTAGCTACAGCTATAATGGGCTATAGTTTAGAGCCTATAGAAATTTATTCATAGTCTTCTATGGCAGCTTACGCCTTAGGCCTCATGTCTCATGACTTATGCTGATGGTTACCACAACTAAAGATAGTAGTACTACCCAATCCCAACCCCTCTTCATTGAATCTATAGCCTACAGCCTAAAGTCTTTAAAGATATTACACTTGCGGAAACACGGCAAAAGTTTAGCAAACATCATAAATGATTCAATACATTCGCCTGACTCCTTTCCCGAAAGCCCTAACCCTCAAGCCTAAACCCGAAACTCCGAAAGCCTAATCCCCAAACATAATTGTCTGGGCCTGTCTAGAGATCAAACCCCGATACTTGCTGTTGAGGCTCAGTGTGCGATTTGCACGCCCATCAAGCTGAAGAATGCCTACGGTAGAGCTTTTGTCGGGATCGCTTGAAGGAGCCGCACCCGCAACCGAAGGCGCAGAGAGTTTGGTCTTTCCTTTGGGCTGCGCAACCTTTGCCGACGGCGTCGGCTTGGCTGGCTTTCCACCCGTGCTGAAGCCTTCCTTTGCCTTGACTTTGGCAGCCGCAGGCGCAGGCGTCACCGTAGACTTGGTGTTGGCACCGCCTTTGTTGGACGCTGCCGCTGCTGCTTTTGCCTTCTTGGCTGCTGGGGCGAGCATCGCCAACCCGGCCGAAGGCCCTGTCTGGGCCTCCTCTTCTGAGCTGGAGTCACTGCTGCTGCCGTCGTCGTCGGCTTTCACTGGCAAAGTGGAACCGGTGCCTGTTGTTGCCGAAGGCTTGTCCTTGGAAGCCGAAGAAGAAGACGAGCCAATTTGCAATTGCTGCACCAGAGCCATCATGCTCTCGATGCTTGCCTCGGATCCCTTGACAGCGGAAGCATCTCTGGCTCGCGTCTGGGCCTGCATAGCAATATGCAGCGCCTCCGTTTTGCTTTCGAAAGCCTTCTCGCCAAAGGCTTCGTGGTCAAAGCCGTGCTCTTCGACCTGCTCAGAGAGCCCGACGTCCTCGTACTCAGTGAAGTCGAACACACCCTCTTTGCCTATGGAGCGCCACACTCCCTTGTACTTCTGTCCTGGCATTTGATGCATGTGTGTGTGTGTGTGCGTGTGTGTCACAGGATACGCTTGCTCGGTATCCAAAAACGAAAACATGCATACATCACCCCAACCAAAAAAACTAACTACGAAGCAAACCGAGTGACCGCGGATCTCTTGCTCCACCTCTTTCGAGGGGTCCCATTTTCCATGGATATTCTCATCCCAAGCGCTGGTGCACACGAATTGCTTTTTTGGCAATTCGAAACGGCCTCCAGTGTCCTTCTTTACGGTGAGGCTCTTCTTCGCCTCGAGCAACTCGTCTTTGCTCTTCAGTCTCACTTTGTCAGGATTGTCATTGTGTTGGCGAATCCAATCTTTCACCGAATTGAGGAAACTTTTGTGTTCGTTCTGCCTGGACCTGTCGGATACCCATTTGTAGTAGTTCGCGTAGCTACCATGCACTGCGTGCAGACCTTGACGGAAAACATCACAAAATCTAAGCCTAAGCTATCTAAATTATAGGTTCGTCTAAATTTTGAATCTTAAACTACACATCCCGCTGTCATAGAATAGCGATTGTTTAGGTAAACACCCGGCCTAAAAGGCGAAAGACGTTGAGACAAGGCAGGCAGCAGCGACCTTCAGGGACACGGGCAGGCTCTTCGTTTGCAGGAGTGACTTTCCTGTACTTGGCCCAAGGCCGGTTCGGCATCTCTGACAAGGCGTCCTCGGTTGGACTGACCAAAGGGTTCTTGTCGGTGCTCAAGGACCCACAGAGACTGCACTTGCAAGCTTTGGCCAAGGTGTAGCTTATGCGAAGAGTCAACTTGGAGTCGCGTCCAATCGTTGTTGGAGCTTGTGAAAGCGGTGGCGGCGGCGGCGGCGGGTATTCACCTTCGGAGCCAGAGCCTTCGGATTCTGCGGCTGCAGCGGCTTCGCCGGACTGCTGCTCTTCATCCGGAAGGTTGTGGTCTGACTTTACGGCTATGTCCATTGTCTTCAGTGGCCTCTGTTCCTGGACGGGCCACAAAAATACTAAAACTATGAACCTCTCAGAGCCAAATATAACCGATAGCAGGCGCAAACTTTGCCTTGATGCGTTGATCCTTAGAATCCATGCAATCCGTACCAGCACAATCCACAGCCCACACCTTTGTTTTAACACGCCACGCCCGCAGTGTCAAGTGCTGCAAGCAAGCTCGTGTCACACACACATACACAACGGCCAAAGGCCATTAATTAGTAGCGTCGTATCGGCACCCCATCTAGTTAAAAGCAGTTCTTTGGTCGTCTCTGATCTTGATGATCTTCTTCAGCCAATAGAGTTCCCGGCTTTTACTCATTGTGGCAAGCTCGTTAAGATTTGGCAAAGCGATCTCGATGCGGTAGATCCTGCACTCCAAGAAGTCCACCAAGTGATGCTCCCTTGGTGGTTCATGATTCGGCTTTGCTCCCTCCCGCTGTCTCTCCTTTACCTGTTGTCTTTGCCTAAACCTGGGAGCCTCAAAACCGAACCCGTCGACCTCAAACCTTCCCTCTCTGTCTCAATCTCCCTGGTTTTTGTCAAGGTCTCCCTCTAGTCAACTCTAGCCTCTCTTTCCCTGTCTGTTCGGTTGTCTCCATTCGTCTCTGTCTGATTATACCATCAACTAAGGGGCTCGGTCTGGTCGCAATAGGATCGCACCCACATCCTGGAAAGGACCAACGCGAACTTAGGATTTGCGCCTTTGCACACAAGCTTGTTGGCCAAAAAATCGATAGGATCCTGCAATTCCTCCATGGATGCAACTCGCCTTCAAGGCTGCGCCGAATCCAAACAGGAAGAACCCGCCTTAAAGGCTACGCCGATACTAAACAGGATGATTTGGAAATCTACCTGCCTAAAAGGCAAACCTAGCTGCCTCGAGCAAGGGCCGCCTTGAACCAAAATCGCTTCAGAAATGCAAGGCCTGCTCTAGACACCATGTCTGGAAAAGAAGCTACACAACGTGACCCTGTCCCACTGTTATTCCGTGCTCCGACCCCCCCCCCAAACCCACGCCCACCACCTCAATCGCACCCCGACAACCCCCACACCTCCCCTCCTCCCTCAAACCCCAACCCAACTTCCAGCTAGCCCCTGCCTTTAACACACAAAAGACGCACGGGGAGGGGCGCGGTGTGGGGGAGCTCCCGAGAGCGGGTGCGTGCAAGGATATGGGTGGTGGGCAGGGGGATTGGGGGGCCGCGTGGTCAACAAAGACCAGGCAGGGCACAAAGAAGAAAGGCGGGCGCAGGCCAGTGGGGCAGGCAAAGGGAGCGAGAGAGGGAAGGCGCACAAAAGGCAGGGAGGCAGGGCTGCCAAGAAAAAGTTCTCTTGCCAGATGTCGGAGGCCAGAGCCTACTGCCAAGAGAACGTTCCCTTGCCAGACCTCGGGGAAGGCAGGGCCTACTGCCAAGAGAACGTTCCCTTGCCAGGAGGGGGGGGCAGGACGGTGCAACACAAGGCGGAAGAGGGGTGCTAATTTCACCACCTTGCCAACAATTGAACAGATTTCAAACAATTGTAAAACAATTGCCAAACAATTGCCAAACAATTGTCAAAACAATTGACCAACAAAAATCTCTACACTAACTATAGAATTCTCCGCGCAACTTTTATATAAATTAATAAGGGAACCAAGAAAATCTCTACACTAACTATGATTTTCTCCGCGCAACTATTCTTGACAATTGTTTGGACAATTGTTTGGACAATTGTTTGGCAATTGTTTGGACAATTGTTTTACAATTGTTTTAAAATTGTTTGATTAGTTTAATTTACTTAATAATTATTTGTTTCTTTTGTTTTTCAGATACCAAACAATAGTTTGACTGATACATAGCACACTACCTGTTCAACAACATACCAGACAGATCGGAAAGGTAGCTGGATGACAGCAACACACACCTGCAGCGAGCTAACGCACGAAGCACTCGGCACGTCAATCTCACTTTTGCGCACAGAGGAACGCTGTCGAGTCGACAGTCTGTAGCAAGCCAGGCAGGCCATGCTGGCAGCTTGGCCTGCCTGGCTTGCTACAGACAGTCATGGATCGTCATCGCCTTCAGAGTCAGCCTGTAGCAAGCCAAGGAGGTCATGGCCGCTGGCACACGGTCTCCCTGGCTTGCTACAGGCTGTGTGGCCATCAAGATAGCGGTCGCCGGCCGTCGCCGGTGGCTACTACTCCAAGACCGGGCTCCGGCCTTGCAGTGGTAGCCACCGGCGCCGACTGTGCCTGCACTGCAGTATGCAGCGCCTCCCTTTCGCATTCCAAAGCCTTCTCGCAAGAGGCGGTCGAAGCCGAAACTGCGCTCTTCACGCTTGTTGACCCGCTCTGAGAGCCCGACATCCTTTGTGTTTGTCGATGGCACCATCCCTTGCACTTTTGTCCTGGACCAGTGTTCTACGTCATGAAAAACTGCGCGCGTTTACAAAATCACCAAACACTTAACCCAAATAAGAAAAGTCTGCGACTATGCAAACAACCACGGATCTCCTGCTTGAACGACGCCTCCAAGCGGCTGCTTTGCGGAATCGCCTTGACCCGATCGCCGATAGTCCTCTTCAGCTTTTTCGCAAGGCCTTCAAGCCCGAAGCAGCTGTTGCCGCTTTTTTTTCCACGCTGCCAAGTCTCCGGGATTTCCGGGTTTGCGCTTTTGCAATGAGACCTGCATGGCCTTAGGCCACAGACGCTCATCTTTGAACGCTGGACCAGCGACATAGACATATCGCGCGTTGGTCAATATAGAATATAGACCTGGCCGAGGCCACAAATCTCAAAAGCTGGTCCTTGAAGGTTTTTTTTTCTTTTCCACGCTCTGCCAAGACTCCTGGATTTCTAGGCTTTCGCGCTGAGACCTGGCCTTAGGCCACAAAAGCTCGTCTTGGAAGACGTGTTTGGGTTTCCAATCGGAAGGATCACAGACCGCTCGAATAGCGGCAGAACGCGTGTTCGCGAAGATTAGACCTGGCTTGAAGCCACAAATCACAAAAGTTGGTCCTTGAAGCCGTTTTTTGATTTTTTGGCGCAAGCCCATGAAGCAGCTGTTGCAGCTTTGGCTTTTCCACGCTCAACCAAGTCTGCTGGATTTCTAGCTAGGTTCTCAGAGACCCGGCTCGAGGCCCTAAACCCTAAACCCTGCAAACCCTGAATTATAAGGTCAAGCTCTTGTAACGGCATCCAGCAACACCATAAAAAATCACTGGCGCACCCCAGCCTTGACATCAAGCTCAGCTTCAGACAAACCTTCGGCAAAATGTGCAAGCAAGGGCCCGCCCAGAGACAGGTGGCAGCTGCGCTTTTCATTGTCGCGCCACTCCGAGTCGTCCAAGCCTGCAACCAGCCAACGTTTCAGTCGCAGTTTTGCTTCTGCGTCTGTCATGTTCGCTATGGAGACGGACTTTTTGCAGGACGAGCCCAGCTTATCCCCGAGGTTGTTGTGGCAGCGACACAGTGCCTCCCAAGCAACATGAACCCCATCACGGTAGATTGGAGAAAGGGAAAAGATTCCCCATGGCTGCCCCCGCTTCATCATCGAACGTGTCTGAAGTTGCCGCTGTTTGGGCACGACTGAGCTACTTGAAGCTGGTTGCTCGTACTGCGTGAGTTCCTCCTCTGGAACCAAAACTTTGGGAGCCTCCAAGTCTTCAAGCTCGGATTCTGCATTAATGTTTTCTTCATTTTTTTCATCTGCATTTTGGACATTATTGCCATTGCCATCACCGGCAGCGTCGGATTCTGAATCCGAGGGCATAGGAATTATACCTTGCAGCGCTTTTTCGGCCCGAATCTGTGCACGCTTCGCTTTCTGCTCTTTGGTAAGCTTTTTCTTCGCTTCTGGCTCGGTCTTGAGGCCTGAAGGCTTTGCGTGCCCAACCTGGCCTGAGGCCTGGAACTGCCTCTTGGGGCCCTTCTTTTGAGCAGATGGGTGCAATGCATCGAATGCAACAAGCGCAGCCTCAGTGTCAGCATCAACCTGCACTGGCAAACCCGCATCGCCGCCATCTTTGTCATCGAAAGGATGGGATGCTGTAATGTCGAACCTGTTGATGTGACGCACAGGCCCCACGTCTAGCACGTTCAATTTCCAGTCGGACGCTTGCCGGGCAAGCCTTGCCAAAGCCACACTCTCGCTTTCAAGCTGAAGCTCTCTTCGACCACTCTGCGAAAAACAATGCAGGCTCACAACAACACCCTCTCCTGCAAGATCAGCCATTTCTACAGGGTGGAGAAGAAGCACTGCCGCCTGGTGCGGGGCGCGGAGAGTGTGAAAAGCAACAGCCAGGCTTAGAGTTGCATCTAGTGTGGCGGAATGAAAGGAGAGAAGCAACGGCTCTTTCCCTGTGGATTTGGCTGTGGGGGCTTTTTGCAGCACGGCGCGCCAGAACAGCGCACGCAGATGCTGCATGCATTCTTGCTTCTTTTCTGGCAGTGAATGCTCACAGCCGTTGATTGTGCATGTGGGGAACAGAGGCCACGGTTCAGGCGGAGCTCCCAACAAGCTGTTGGCCTCTTCCGGCTGCAGGACATTGTGCTGTGCATGAAAAGCATTTGCGATTGCTTTGACCTTGTTGCAATCAGCAGCGATACTGTGCCGCGCTAGAGGGAACCCGTCTGCGGCACCAATATTCCAAGGACCTCCAACAAAATCGGCGGCGGCCTGGGCATCCTCTGCACTCGCTTCCTGATCCACTGCACTACTGGCCTGGAGGTTCTGAGAGCGTGCGACAGCGGCCCAGCGCTTTTTGTCGGCTTGGGCCCATTCAGCGGCCACTCTTGCATTGCGGTCACCTCGAGACGCTTGCAAAAGCCCAGGATGCCGACGAAACAAGTCCTGCGCAAAAGCATGCCAACCATTTCGCGCCTTGCCCTTCAGCCTACCTTGCGCCCATGCAGGCCTTCGGTTGTGGAGACGTTTGCGCTTTTGCCTCAAAGTCATCTTCCGCCACCTCTTGACATGGTGCTCGAACGTGTGCGCGCAGTGCTTGGATACGACTGCTGACAATCTTCTCTTCGGCCCTCTCTGATTCGTTGGTCCACTCCATTCTGTCAGTCTTGCAAACATTCTTTCAATATACGTGGAAGTGGGAACGATCCGTTCAAACACTGCTTGCAAGAACTCCAACACATCATCCTCCATCAAACTGTTTGAAGACTTTCGCACCTCGCGCAGCTTCCTAGCAAATCCATCCAAACAACACACAGGCTGATCAAACAAATCCTGAGCACAACGCTGCTTCTCTGCATTGGTCGTTTCGCTGTCGATCAGACATGCTAGCTTCCATGGGTATTGCGTCCAAGGATAAAGCAGCTTCCTCCAGAGTTGACCCACCACAGTGAAAAATCCTCGCCGAAGCACTCGCAACCTGGCCTGAGGCCACGACAGAATCGGGCCAAAGCACAGGACGGCGGGACCCCACTCGTCGCTGGCGACGTCATCAAGCATCTTTGAAAGGCACGCCATCGCCTTCTTGGCGGGATTTTCAGCTGCCTTGCAAAAGCAAGACGCGGTCAAAGACCTATCCAACTCCAAATCCCCCTCCTCCTGCATTTCCGGTGCTTCTAGATCACGATCTGACAACCATGTGGCGTGCTTAAACAATGCATAATGAATGTTCATGACTGGCGCAGTCAACACGGTCCACAGGACTGTCGACCAATGGAAAGACTTGTCCTGTAAAAAAACCCCAGCCTTCACCAACCGTAACCTGGCCAATCGGGCCCACAGCTTTGATTCGTTAAGCGGGGCTCCAACATCTGCACCTTCTTCTTCGTCGTCTGGCGCTTCAGGCACCATTTTCGATGTGCCGAAGGCGGCCTCGAAGGCTTGGGGAACAAGGTTGCAAAAATTCTGCATCACAGAAATGTGCCGCATGCAAGGTGCAACCTTCGTCCATTTGTTCAAAGCTGGCACCAAAACGGGTTTGAGCAAAACCTCTTCCACCAAGCCGAAGGCTTTGCAAACAGGGTCGGCTCGGTCCTTGCAGCAATCAGCTCCTCCACATACGTGAACTGGCCGTCCTGCAGGCAATCGCTTCAAAATCGGTTCAAAATCGCTTCAAAATCGGTTCAAAATCGCTTCAAAACATGTCTTGGCTGAACTATTGAAAACTTATCACGCTGCGATGCAAGCTTGTCGAGTGCATAACTGCATAACAGCCAATAACAGCAGCAAACTAGACTGCAACCTGGGTTCCATGCAGGGAGCTAGCAGCTAGCATTCATAAAGCGTCGCATACATAGTCGTAGAGTCATAGTCATAGTCACATGTAACAAACTCACAAAACAAAGCGGGTAGAGTAGGATGTGTTGTAACACTAACTTGACGACAGTTCGGACTGAGAGCATCAACATCTAGGGGGATGTTGCCTGGGGTATGGAAACTGCACTGCAACGGTCAAGCCCTCAGATGTCGGTAGCCTGAATCACAAGTTGCATTGCCTTGACTTGACATTAACTAATCTGCCTGGAACCCATGCAGCCCATGCACAAGCCTCGCGTAGTTATTGCGGCAGAAACGACGTGATCTTTTTCACGTGGCAGCAACAGCAAGCGAAATCACACACGAAAGGAATGCAGTCGTCGTTTGTGAAATCGACTTGAGCGACAGCGATAGCAGACTGGACTTGGCCAAAGGCCGATCAATGAAACCAACTTTGACCTTTCGTTGTACCGAAAGCAAACTAAGCTAGGCTTGGCCCAAGGCCAGGCCGTTGATGTCTGATGCTGTCACTGTACCAGTCCAGCCTGCCCTCTGGAACACTGTGGAAGATTGGGACTGTACTGCTCAGGTCAGAGACTGTCGCCCAGCAACATGAAACGAAAGTAACCCAACAAAACATCTGTGCAATTCTAGACAACGATCGACATGCCATGCTTGGGCTGAAACTATACTTAGTGGGGGTTCCTCCTGGTTGCGACAGCTCTGACCTGGCCTGAGGCCAACACTCTGACTTTCTACGCAGCATAGCCGCCGCGGCTTGGGGGAGACAAAAGCTCGACCCCGCCCCAATTCCGCTTCACATACATCGCCAAGTCGACATTGTTCGCGAGTGCGGCGTCGACGACCCCCTGCCCGCGCTTCAAGCCGGGGCTGTTGACGAGTGAGGTCACCAGGCCAAATGCGTAGGTTGAGTTCCTGTCACCACCACTCTTGTGGTAGAGGGACCACAAAAGCTTCTGCAGCCCACGGTGGTTCCCACGAGAGGCTGCAATGTGAAACGCTGTCGCCCCTGTTGGAGACCTGGTCCTTAGCAACACTAGAACAAGAGAAAACTGCCCAAAATCACCAGGCAAGACCCGGCCCAAGGCCAATACATCACTGTGTCACGTTGGCACGAAAATCTTCAAGAATAATCTTTTACTAATCTTACTAAGCACACACCGAAGTACATATTTACAAACACGAACACTACTTGAAAGGACCGAGATTCACGAGACCTGTGACGCTCATGTAGGAAACCAGGACCTTCAACATGTCGTAGGCGTAGTCCGTGCCTCCCAAAGATCCTGGTGGTGCATCAACCAACACCATCAACGGCGTCCAGTTCGCTGGGCGACCTGAGGGGTTCGTCACGGCATCCGCAAGAGTCGGGGCTTTCCGGAGAGTATACTCCAGACAAGGCCCAAGGCCCAAACGCACGGCATGATGGGCGACTGTCATCCCCTCTTCGTCTCTGATTGAGACGAGGTCAGAGACCGTCAGCGCTTGGAGCTCCGCCCTGAGGCGCGTCATGTCGCGATTGTACAGCGCTGTGAGGATGACGTTCTTTCTCTCGTCCATTTCTTGGCGAGATTGCAGTCTCGACAATAGAGCCTGCTGTTGGACTTTCTGGGTCTCAAGTAGCCCAAAAAGCCTCCCAAGCATCTCGTCCTTATCGCCTTCCGCCGCCTGCGCCTTGAGCGCTTCCATCGTCTTCTCGAGGTCCAAACTGGAGGGCTCCAGCGGCTCTCCGGACTCGGCCGTCGCAGGAGTCGCAGGCTCATCATCAACCTGGCCCAAGGCCTCGTCCCGGGCCCCCTCGTCCGATTCCACGGGGTCTGCGCTGGTGCCTTGGATCGGCTTGAAGTCTTGAAGCTTGGGCGACAATGGGCTGGAAGGGCTAAAGTAACTAGCTGTACCCTAAAACCCCAGACCGTTTTCTCAACCCGGACCTTCATCAAGACCCTTCCCTATCATAAGTGGTTAAGCAACAAAGCAGAAGACGAGAAACCGCCTGGCTCATCCGCTTCCGCCGCTTGCTGCCCTGGCTCTGCGATCTGGTCACTTACCGGGCCGGAGGCCGAGGCCTGATCATCAGCCTGGGCCTGATCCTCCTCGACCTCAGCATTGTTGAAAGAGAGCAGCTGGCGGTTCAGGTGCCCCAGATCGCGCATCACTGTCTCCAGGCGTGCAAAGTCTTCCGAAGTCCAGTTTGCACGGGGCGTCTGCGGAGGCGACTCTGGATTGACATCGGCTACTTTGCCTTCGTCATCGCAGGTCACCATCTCAAAGTCTGACTCCGGCTCCTCTGCTTCGGCTGCACCCTTTTCGCAGGCCTTCTCCATGGTGGACTCCTCGTTCTCTTCGTCGTCTGCAACCTCAATTTCAACCATAACTGGTGGGTCCACTGCCTCATCATCTGCACTGGCGGCACTGACCTGGCCAGAGGCCGACGAATCCTCGCTGATGCGCTTGGGGTGCGGCATCTCTGAGTCGTCGGTAATGAAACCTGAGTTGTGTACTACCTAGAGTCCTAGAGTCTAGACTGGGCAATCTAGTGACGGACCAAGACCAAATGCACTATTTGCCGAAACCTGTAGCCGTTCTGTCTTGCTTACATTATAATTATCTTCATCATAAAAAATATATAATATAAAAATTTCAGCTCTAAGAAACCATCCGTCGGAACGTTGATGTACGAGGAGTCCGTGTCTGTGCCACTCTGCCGCACCTGACCTGGCGAAACGCCCTTCGATCTCGGCTTGACTGGTCGAGCTTTGGACCGAAGGTGGGTCGAGCTTGAGCGACCGGGCGGGGGCGGCGGCGGCATCGACGATATCAATGACTGTGGCCCTGGCAACGACTGGCGAGTCCGCTTGCCCTTGCCTGAAAGGACGAACCCCATTTCTATGCAGCGCCGACGAAACTGAACAGGGGTGATGAGGGCGTTCGCATATCTCGTGGAAGGAAATATCTCCTGGTTGCTGCCGACCTGGACCAGGCCTGAGGCCCCCGATTTACCAGCGATCTCTGCTTGGTGCTCGATCAAAAAGTCGATGGGGCGAATAGTGTTCACTCTGTACTGCGATGGCGGCGCTCTGCTGTTCAGGTCGACGATGTTGCGCAATGTGGAGACATAGTTCCTGTAGATTCTCAAATGCGGCCTAATATAAGATTAAGGTAACCTTATCCTGAACTTGATTCTTGTCTCTTACAGCCTTTCTGGCAAACACATCGACGTCTGACTCACTGGAAAGCACACAGTGACTATACTGAAATGCCGAGGTTCGCAACTTCTGTCGCCGACCAGCCTAAAAGGCGCATGAGCGTCATGGCACCAAGTGTCGCGGAGCGATGGGCTCCGTTGACACAGCAGATGAGGACCGACACGCCGCGGTGCAGCAAGGAGATCACATTGTCGATCTGCTGCAGCACGCTCTCCATGTTCACGTTGCCGTGCACGACGCCAGTCCCATCTGTGTACCTCAATACACGGATCGCCGCTGTGTCATCCGGCTGGACCGACTTGGCCGCAGGCCACACCGCTCCGATTCCATTCCTGATCATCAGGTTAGTGTCGGTGCCTGCCTTCGATCCGCCGAGCCACAACTTGGAACCGAACTCATTCGTCAGGTCCAAGATGACATGGGCAGGATGCCTACACAGGGCCCAAACAGAAACGTTAAAAGTTCAAAGAGCCAAGAGTCCAAAACGAAACCCCCGGCTACGCCTTAAAGCAACTAACTTAGAACTGCCTCCTGCTTCCTATGCCTTAGTATAGGACTATAGACTGTAGTATGGTATGGTAAGTCATAAAGTATGAGAGCTATAGGCTACAGGCTTTGGGGGGCGCCTACTGCTCTAGGACTCTAGGCTATAAGCCATAACGGCTAGTTTGAGTATTTGGGCACATCGATCCTGTCGTTGTAGCTGTTCCGTGCCCACTTGATCGCCTCGACTCCACCGTAGGTGTCACATGCGAGGTGGTCCGTGATGACGACCACATGCTGCCTGAGCTCTTGTGAAGTCATCTCCGGACCCGGCCAAAGGCCCTGTAGCGCGGACGCACGAGCGTCCATGCTTTCGAAACAAGCTGCCAACCCTTCTGTCCGCAAGAAAGCCAGGAGCTGGGTATCGGTCATTTCGAAAAGCCCCGACGGCCCCGACATTGCAATCGGGGATGCTCAGAAAAAAAGACACACGTCACTCACTCACTGTGTCAGCTGAACGTCGCGATCTTGAACCACATGCAGAGTGCACATGCATCAGAGGTCAAAACTGTCAAAACATGCAACGACACTCCAAGTAGACTTTGCAACTGTAGGACATGCTACGGCAGCCATAAAGCAGAAGTTTAATCAGTCGCTTATGGCATCGTGCGCAATCACAACCAGATTTATCTAGATTTACCACTGATTCCCAAATCAAGAACCCAACCGAACCCCAGCACTCGGTCCTGTCCAGGGGCCGCGGAAGAAGTCCACGAACTTCTTGATCCGCTGCGAAACTCCGGAACGTTCTTCAGGTTTGGCATCGCCCAATCCTTGCAGCATAAGTTCTAAGAAGGTGGTTGCTTGCTTGCGTGCGCTGGACCATTCGGCCTGCAAACCTGGAGGCTCTTCTGACATGACGACCAAATCCTTGTCAATCTGTTGCTTGACAGCTTCCCTCAGATCCTTGAACACTTTGCCTTTACTGGTGCACTTTGCTACACAGTAGGAACCTGGCAGAATGCCCAAAAGCTTTGTAATTCGCTCAACCACGTTCCCGTTCCTATGTTGAGCACAAAGCATAGGGATAAAAAAACACTGCTCAGGCAGAACTGCATGCAAATGTTTGAGCAACTTGATATTTGCTGAGGCCTGGTCGCACGTCACCAGCAGACATGGAAAGTCAGCCAAGGTGCAAAAGCTACCTGGCCCAAGGCCCCCTGCTCCGAGGTTCAATGCTGCCCACATGCATGCAGTTGTTTTGCGGGGCAGGGCCTGAGGCACTCGAATGAAATCCTGTTCTGTCATACTTCCTGCTGAACCGAAGCTCAATTGAGAATGAGAAGCTAGAATTGACCAGGAGCCCGGCCCATCACCATTCAAACTCAGATCCAGCTCGGTTTCGTCGAACATCAGGTTCAAGATCCAAAGCTTAGGTGGGTTGTGCGACTCTGATACTGCACAATGTCTTGCTTTGCCTAGCTCTTGTGCAAGGCCTTCTTCTTGCTTCTTCAAAAGCACACTAGACACAAAAGTACGAGCGCTCAACACATGAGCCGCACTGGCTCCATCTATCTCGCTGGCGACCTGGCGCAACGCCGATGATGCTTGAGAAAATGCTGCTCGGAGTAACGCTTCCGGTGTCCACACTTTCCATGCGCCTTTCCCAGACACCTTGGCCCTTTTTTCTGATGATTCCATCGGCATCAGGTGATCTGTCGTCCTGCTCCTTCCAGACAAATTAGCATGAGTTGCTTGCAATCGGCTTTGCCGTCGTCTGTGGGCCTTATGTGTTTCCTTCATGCTTTTGGACCTCTTTAAGCCAATCCGTCTTCTTGCCAGCCCGACTCCTCGTCCTCTGCCGCCTCTGCCTCTGCCTCTACCGAGCCCGTCTCCTCGTCCTCTGCCGCCTCTGCCTCTGCCTCTACCGAGCCCGACTCCTCGTCCTCTGCCGCCCCTGCCTCTACCGTCTCGACCTGGCCGAAGGCCTGCTCCTCCTCCCCGAACAGCTTGCTGTGGGCCTGCTGCTCTTTGTCTCTGCTGGGCAACTCGCTGTTGCCGCGCTGGCAAGCGTGCAGGGCGTGGAACTACATGTGGCGCGTGTTCCACGGCAATGCTTGCGAGATCTTCAAGATTAAAATCGAACATGTCGCTTTGGACCTATTCATCTACTCACGGTTGAGCCTGATGCAATCAGCAGTATATAGCGGAGTCTTGGAAACACATATAATGCAGCACTCATGCCTGGACTGGCGCCATCCTGGTTTGCTAAAACTTGACTGTGGGCTCTTGACTGAGGCGTGCTACAGTTGGTGCGCCTTGCCCCCCCCCCCCCTCCCCGGGTTTTGACTCAGACAGCGCAATGCCCTCTTCCCAAAACAAGTGGATCAAACTGCAGCTGTAGCAGAGTAAAAGACAAGTGCAACAGAGTTGTTTCAAAAACATAGCATTTAAGAAACCATTGAAAAACAATTGTTCAATAAAAACACCAGATTCCAAAACAATTGAAAAACAATTGTTCAAAAAAACACACAAATTTCAAACAATTGCAAAACAATTGCAAAACAATTGTCAAAACAATTGACAATTGCAAAACAATTGCAAAACAATTGCCAAACAATTGTCCAAAACAAATGACCATTTTTATACATACCCTCAACAGAAGCTTCTTGAAAACATTCAAGACAATCCTGACAAAGTGAGACTGAAGAGCAAAGACGAGTTGCTCGAGGCGAAGAAGAGCCTCACCGTAAAGAAGGACACTGGAGGCCGTTTCGAATTGCCAAAAAAGCAATTCGTGTGCACCAGCGCTTGGGATGAGAATATCCATGGAAAATGGGACCCCTCGAAAGAGGTGGAGCAAGAGATCCGCGGTCACTCGGTTTGCTTCGTAGTTAGTTTTTTTGGTTGGGGTGATGTATGCATGTTTTCGTTTTTGGATACCGAGCAAGCGTATCCTGTGACACACACGCACACACACACACACATGCATCAAATGCCAGGACAGAAGTACAAGGGAGTGTGGCGCTCCATAGGCAAAGAGGGTGTGTTCGACTTCACTGAGTACGAGGACGTCGGGCTCTCTGAGCAGGTCGAAGAGCACGGCTTTGACCACGAAGCCTTTGGCGAGAAGGCTTTCGAACGCAAAAAGGAGGCGCTGCATACTGCTATGCAGGCCCAGACAAGAGCCAGAGATGCTTCCGCTGTCAAGGGATCCGAGGCAAGCATCGAGAGCATGATGGCTCTGGTGCAGCAATTGCAAATTGGCTCGTCTTCTTCTTCGGCTTCCAAGGACAAGCCTTCGGCAACAACAGGCACCGGTTCCACTTTGCCAGTGAAAGCCGAAGACGACGGCAGCAGCAGTGGCTCCAGCTCAGAAGAGGAGGCCCAGACAGGGCCTTCGGCCGGGTTGGCGATGCTCGCCCCAGCAGCCAAGAAGGCAAAAGCAGCAGCGGCAGCGTCCAACAAAGGCGGTGCCAACACCAAGTCTACGGTGACGCCTGCGCCTGCGGCTGCCAAAGTCAAGGCAAAGGAAGGCTTCAGCACGGGTGGAAAGCCAGCCAAGCCGACGCCGTCGGCAAAGGTTGCGCAGCCCAAAGGAAAGACCAAACTCTCTGCGCCTTCGGTTGCGGGTGCGGCTCCTTCAAGCGATCCCGACAAAAGCTCTACCGTAGGCATTCTTCAGCTTGATGGGCGTGCAAATCGCACACTGAGCCTCAACAGCAAGTATCGGGGTTTGATCTCTAGACAGGCCCAGACAATTATGTTTGGGGATTAGGCTTTCGGAGTTTCGGGTTTAGGCTTGAGGGTTAGGGCTTTCGGGAAAGGAGTCAGGCGAATGTATTGAATCATTTATGATGTTTGCTAAACTTTTGCCGTGTTTCCGCAAGTGTAATATCTTTAAAGACTTTAGGCTGTATAGATTCAATGAAGAGGGGTTGGGATTGGGTAGTACTACTATCTTTAGTTGTGGTAACCATCAGCATAAGTCATGAGACATGAGGCCTAAGGCGTAAGCTGCCATAGAAGACTATGAATAAATTTCTATAGGCTCTAAACTATAGCCCATTATAGCTGTAGCTAAGCCAAATCTGATAAGGCAAAGTCGAGTGCTAGGAAATCTCAGCTTGACCTATCAGGAGTCGCCTCAACGATGCCAATACGAAGCTTGCCGAGAAGCTCAAAGAGATCCGTTACGATGACGAGCCTGTGTCGCAAAACCAAGCAGCTTCAAAAGAGTATCGCGCACATTGTCTCAAGCGCGTCACCGAGCTCAACCAGATCAGGAAGCAAGCCTCGGAGCATGTGAAAAAAGTGGAAAAAAGCCCCAACAAAGATGCTTTTGCAGACCAGCTACAAGGTCTTACTGAAATCACCGATGCTGCCACAGCGCTCGGAGAGCTGTTGGGCATGATGCCTGTGGCAACCCCTGATCCCGAAGTGTTCCTTGGCACTCTGAACAAGTGCAGAACCTTCGCGGGAAGTCTGGGCTTTGGCCTTGGGCCGGGTTTCGCAATGAAGTGTCTCTTGGCAAAGGTCAACGAAGCATGCTTGCATTGCAACTACGACCGACTTTGCGAGATCCTCTGCGAGGACAGCAAGGATGCCCAGGACATCCTCAGCTCATCCGTAACCATGGATCAGCTACGCCTTGCCGTATCTGCTGAGATCGAGAATCGGCTGCTTTCAGCCATGCGAAATGTTTGCATGACAGAGTTGAAGCTGAAGTCCTCGGGGTTTGTCCACATTGCAGATCCTGAGTCTGAGACCCCGACTTTGCATGAGGCAAGCCAGCTGGCCGCTTGCATTGCGCGTGCGTCTGAGGCCAAAGGGTTCCTTGCAAGCAGCATCGCAGACTCTGCGTCCGTAGCCTTCTCTTTTCTGGACATGAAGGACATGGCAAGTCTCCGAGACAACGTCCAGAAGATTCAGGGAGTCGCTTCCGAGCAGCTGGAAAAGTTGGATGGCATGACGCGTTTTTTCATCCAGCATGATATTGGCAAAGCTCTGGTGGCTCTCGCCACTGATAGAGTGGAACATGGGCAAGCAGAGGCCGACTACCAGGAGTTGCTGAAAGCTTTGCAGGCGCCGTTGGAAAGGCTGCAACAGGCAGCCAAGGAGATCACGCACAGAACGGCGGCAAAAAGCCAGGGAATTGCATTTATCGTTAGCGACCTCAGCCCGGCGGTCAAAGCCATGGAGGAGTTGCAGGCTTGCGCTTTCTTGAAGCGCAAGGCCGCGCAGAAGGCTGATAGCGAGACCGGCATGAGTGCTGTTGAGACAGTGCAATCCTGCGCTGGGCGCCTGTCAAAAATCGCGGTCACCATGGTGCAAGACGAACTCAACATGAACATCTCCGAGCACCTGCGCCTTGGCTGTTTCCCAGTAGCTGCGTTTAACCACTGTGTTCGGATGTATAGATATAGATATAGATATAGATACAGATCGTACCACATTTTTCCACAAGATCGGGGGTTTAGCGTCCAAATCATTGGCGGGTCTAGAACTCATAGTCGCACCAAGCCAAAGCCCAAACGTCGCAAAGGGCAAAACTTATCAGCCATGTGTAAGGACTGTGGGTTTTGAGGCGCTGAAGAACAACTGCATGGTGAAGCTTCCGCAGCAAGCAGATGCAGACGTTCCGGCCTCTGGCCCAGTCGGGTCAGGCACGGCCATCATCAATTTGGACGAGTTCCTCAGTGGTTTTTCCGCTGTCGCTTTCGTTGAGAACAAGCTCTGGCAGAGCCTGCCTGCAGTGCAGGCTTTGATCGCTGATTACAGCAAAGCGACATCGCTGCTAGCTTCCATGATGCGATTCGTTTTTATGAAGCAGCCGGCTTTCAGCCAGGTTTCTGTCGGCAAAGACAAAGTGCTGCCAGAAACCATGCAAGACTGGACCGAAAAGGCACGGAAGCATGCAAAAACCTGGGTTTCCGAACCAGCTCTCTTGGAGGCAATCGAACACTGGTTGGTTAAACCACTTCAGGCAGAGCTGCAGTTGCTCTATTCAGCGGGTCTCAGCAGTGTGGCTCCAATCGTCGATCAATATGTGCAAGGCGCTTTGGCCTGTGGTCTCACTCGTGGTGTTCACGACGACGTTTTGCAGAAAGTGCCGCAGCAGCACCCCCTCCGTGGTCTCGTCGAGTCGTTCTTGCAGGCCCAGTCCTCCATTGCCGCGTTGCCTGTAAGCCGTAAGCCGCATGCCCGGTTGCTCGTGATAATTTGCTTGCGCTGTACACCGCTGAGCTCAGGCTAGCCAGGCAACAGGCAAATCGCAAATGGCAAATAGTAAATAGGTTCACTTTGTCACTATGTACATGTAGTCAGTATGACTATGACTATGACTATGACTACTGATTACGTCCTCGTCACTATGTCACTGTCAGCAATCATTGCTTTGTCCCTTTCGTCATTTGGTCCAACGGTTAAAGTTTTCGTTGTTTACTGCTAGGCTAGATCTATAAGTCTAAATCCAAGGTCCAAGGCCACGGTAGCGGTACTGGTATCGAACACTAAAACTTCGAAAGGCTTAGCCGTGACACCGATGTTCAGAGTTTTGGGTTTTGGGTTGCTGAAGGCTGAAGCATTGAGTCAGAGAGTTCCCCTGAAAGGTTGCAATGATCCCGACTGCCAACCCAGAATCAGGTGAGGTTCGGTCTTTGACCAAGTCGTTGAAGCTGCTGTCCGAAGAACTTGCAAACGTCCAGAAGTCCAAGGACTTTGAAGCGGAGCTGAAGCCAACAAAGATTGCGGACAGCTCTACCTTGCAGTGCCTCGAGCAGCGTGCAGGACTTCTGCGAAGGCGGCTCCTGGCCACGGCTCGCAAGACTTGCTTGCAGGCCTGGCAAAGCGTCGAGAGGCTTCAATCGCTTCTTCAAAGCCTTCCCAAGGCCTGCAGCAGAGCTGAGGAGGATTACCGAGTCGCGGCGATCCCGCTGGTGAAGGAGCTGGCAGGCCTGTCCGGCCAGGTGTCGTCAGGAGCTGAGACGATCAAGGAGCTCCAAGATGACATCGCGACATTGGCCGTGACAGTGTTTCAGTCCGCAGGCTCGGAAGCGGAAGTGCCGCATGAGCAGCTCATTCGCAAGTCAGACGGTGTGAACTTCAGGGAAGCTGGAGAGTCTTCGGAGGCTTTTGCCAAGACCTGCAACGAGGTTGCACTTTGTGGCAAGACGCATGTGAGCATTGTTGCAGCCCTTTGCCTGTTGCGCATGCCAAACTTGAGCGCTGCTTCACAAGAGGGCAAGGAGCTGATGCAGAAGCTTGTGGGTGTGCACAGTGCGCTGAGCAATCTATGCGACAATCTGAAGGCCCAGATTGCACCAGGAAGCGAGTATTTTAGCCTCCGCGCTTTTGCAGAGACTGTTCTCAATGAGGCAAACGATTGCTTGAATCCCAAGAAGTCACCAGATGAGTCAGCCGTCGCGGCTGTTCCCAACAAAGGAAAGAAGCGCAAGCCTGCCGAAGAACCGGCCGAGGAACCCGAGAAGAAGAAGAAGGCGGCAGAAAAGAAGAAAAAGAAGGGAAAGGACTCTGACGATGAGAGCGAGAGCAAGAAGAAGAGAGCGGATCCAAGTCAAAGCGAAAGCGAGAGGGGGATTGAGGCCTTCGGCCACGTTTTGATGGGATCCAAGTCAAAGCGAAAGCGAGAGGTGGATTGAGGCCTTTGGCCTTTGGCCACGTTTTGATGTCGAGCTGTGACTTTGAGCCTTCGGGCCAAGTTTCAGCTTCAGAGACATTTTACTTCAGTCTTTGAGCTGATGGAGTTGTCGTTGTTCGGGAGATTTCAGGGGAACTTTCCCAATGCTAACAGCTTCATATCGGCTCGCCCGTTCCGTCAGGGCAGACAAAGACAAAGACCAAAGAGCAGGACGTTTCAGGCAGAGCGAAATGTGAAGAAAAGTGCAGGGTGCTAGCATGTTGTGCGTTAAGACAAAGTCAAGACGTTTTGGGTGAGTTTTGTGGTGGCCACGTGTGGTGGGTTCCTTGCCAGCTTCGGCTTCAACTTCAACGCTTCAGCGGATGTTGCCAGTTTGTCACTGTCACTGTGAACTGTTAACCTAAGTAAAGAGTTTGGGTGTAGGGGTTTTGTGTGACCGTCAGTGATGTCATGTCTGCATGTTGATGTTGGCTCAATGACAGAACAAGGATGTGCAATTAAACGGTAAACACTACAGACGTCAGAAGTCCTCCAACTTGTAGCGCTCCAGGGTAGTCACCACCACGGTCTGCGTCGCGGTTTTGAGTTTTGGGGCTTTTAGCCCATATATCATGTCCGCCTCTGGTTAGACCGCCGGCGGCATTGTTCCCCAGCATGGCGTTCGAGACGACTGAAAGCGCTACGAGCTCGTCTCAGTCCCGGCAACTGTCCAGAGTTTCCTCCAACTCCAGAGCTGAGCCTGTCTTGATGGCCGAGGCTTCTAGCCGGGTTGTTGAGGCGAAGTGGTTCATAGACTGCACCCTCTTGAAGGAATGTGCCGCAGAAAATTTGCATGGCTTTGCCAAACTCTACCCCGAGCAGTTCGGAGATGGGCCTGTGGCCAAGATGCCGAAGACCCAACTTTCGTGGGGTTCCGCATGCTCTGGATGCGAGGGTGCCTTGTACGTAGCACATGCCATTAATGCAAGTTTTGCTGGAGCGAAGTGGCCTGTGAGGCTGCAGCACCGCTTCAGTTGTGAGTCCTGCAGAGACAAGCAAAAGTGGGTGCATGTAGTTTCTGCCTCACACCGTTGCGCGGATGCTGATGAGCTGTTCGCAGATCTGTTTGGGGCAGATGATGAGGATGACGATGAGAGTCATCACACTTGCATCTTTGCAGACATACAGAACTTAGGAAACGAGACAGCCCATTGTGTTGTGCACAATCGAGAATGCCCGGTCCCGCAGGTGGATGTGTTCATGTGCGGTGTGAGCTGCAAAGACGTTTCCCGTCAGAATCCTGGGCGAGACATGTCGAAGCATGTGATAGCCGAAGGGCACTCGCGTGGCGGAACTGCGCAGACATGGCAAGGCTTTGCAAGCTACGTTTCCATCAAGCAGCCGGGTATTGTGGTGTTTGAGCTCCTACGCTGCAACTTTTGTAGAGTTGGTTGCCGTGTTTACTGTTTTTGGGCTTTCAAATAATCTGTTTTCAAGTAGGGTCTGAAGTTAGAAGTAGAAGTAGTAGAGGGTTTTAGGCTTCAGGTCCTTCTCATCCGCTTCCGACATTTGACCACAAATCAGGAACGTGGATGGCCTTGACGACAACGTCGGCCAGACTGCGCAGAGCAACATGGACGTGGTTGTGCAGACGATGAAAGGTTTCGGGTATGAGGCTCAGCCAATGATGACTGATGCTCATGAGTTTGGATGCCCATCCAAACGGCGCCGGGTCTACATCTGCTTTTTCAAGCGGACGTTTCACAAGTTTTGTTTCCAAGACCGTCCGCTCTCGCAGTCTGTAACCATGTTCAGAAGCATGACAGCTTCTTGCATGCGATCTGCGCCGTGCGTCACTGAGGTCCTTTTGGATGGGAGTTGTGAAGCCGTTTCGGCTGGTCTTCTAGAGTTGCAGAACAAACGGGCGCAAGCAGAAGAGAGGGCCGCCAATGCCAAAGCCAAGGCAAAGGCGAAAGCCCAGCCTGCTGCCAACTGGGTAGAGCAACACTTGAAGGCCAGTGAAACCTTAGGCGTTCGATGGGGCCAACCGGCAGGTCGGGAATTGGAGAGCAGCCCATGGTTTCGAACCTTGACAGACCGTGAAAAGGATGCCTTGGTGCTTTCCCGGTCCCACGCGCCGCAGGCAGGCTTCCGCAACCTGAGCCAGTCTTTGAACCGCATCCACACCATGACGCTGGCTGAGGGGTGTACAAAGCATGTTGCGCCTACCATGCTCCCTGGACAGATTCTTTTTGTTGAACTTGTGAGACCTCCAAGGCTTCTGCTCGGGAGGGAAGCTTTGATCCTGCAAGGGTTTCCGGTCGAGACTTTCTTGCGCGACATGGATGTGGCTGGATACAACGCTTGTGACGATCCATTTCCCAATCTTGCAGGCGATAGTGCGAAGAAGCGCAAAAAAAGAATGAATGACAAGCCTTGGCTGACGGAAGCCCTCATGATGGATCTGGCAGGCAACTCCTTTTCGTTTCCGGTTTTGCTCGCGGTGTGGCAGTCTGCTGTTTGCGCAGTGGATTACCGTGCAGCCACTGAGACGGTGAAGGTTGCAGATGTTGAAGAAGCTATGGATGCATTGGCTTTTCTCGTGTCTTTGTGAGCTTCAACCAGGCCTCTGGCCCTTGTCCAGGTTGAGCAAGTAGAGCCTTAGCCTCAGCAGCCTTAGCACCTTTGCCTTTGACTTCGTTGTGAAGCCTTGGCCTTCGGCCCGGTGCTAACTTGGCTGCACAGGCGACGGGCCTCAGGCCAGGTTTACAGCAGAGACTGTGCTTCAGGCTTTTGGTTTCAGAGTTTTGGCGACCGGACTCTGGAGCAGACTTCGGGCACAAAAAAGGCGCCGCTGTGCGTTTTGCGGAGGCTGCTACGGCTGTTAAGTGCAGTGCATGTGCTAGCTTTTGTTGTAATGATGAATGGCGGAATCGCATCCGCTAAAGCTTGGTGTCGCATTTGAAGAAAAGCAACAGGCTAAGCAAACTTCTTTGAAATCGTTGCAAATATTTTTAACAATATTTTTTGAAAGACAACTGAAGCAAATATCACGTATCAGATTTTTGCAAAGCACATGTTTAAAGAATGTGCAAGAACAAAGCCCTTGCAAAACAATTTTTAAAGAAAAACACAGTTTTCAAAACAATTGAAAAACAATTGTTCAAAAAATTGTACAATTTTGAAACAATTAAAAAACAATTGTTCAATAAATTGCACTAATTTCAAACAATTGTCAAACAATTGTCAAAACAATTGTCAAAACAATTGTCAGGGTCAAAACAATTGTCGGGGTCAGGGGAAATGTGCGGGACTACGAAGCTTCTTGAAAACATTCAAGCCATAGCCATCTGCATGAACCGCATCATATGCTCCGGTGATACCAGAGCACCAGGCGCCGGCTCCGGTTGGGCAGTCTGGACCGCCTTTCTCTGTGCTGCTTCGGCAGCAGTCAAGGCGTCCTTGAGGAAGCCAGGCTCCAAATCGGGTTCGGTGCCGCTGAACAGATCGTCCCAGGCTGTACTGGTCTCCATCTGAGTTGGCTTGGCCGCAAGTCCTTGAACCGCGAGGGTCTGTACTTCTGCTGCAGCCGACTGGCCTTGTTGGATCATCGCCGCAATTTCGGTGTCCAGCTTCTCCAAGTCCTTCCGGAACCGTTTCTCCTCCTCGATGAAATCGGCCTTGGCTTTCTTGGCGAAAATAGCCCACTGTTTCTCCTTCTTGACTCGATCCTCTTGCAACCTTCTCACCTTGGTGTCCGCACGGCGGGCGGTAGTGACCGTCTTCTGGATGACCTTCATGAGCTCGGAGTCGCCACTGCCCAGTGCCGGTGCCTCCTCCACTGGCTGAGGTCGTGTATTGGCACGTGATTCCGGCACCTGTACTGTATCGTACCTGGCCTTGGTAGCTTTGTTCTTGGGCGAGGCATTGTATGCACCCGGCCAGAGCCGCCAGGGCCGCGAGTCTTCGGCGCCACCCTTGTCCCACTTGTCTGTACGCCATCCTTGCTGGTAGTCGCGGCCGTGGTGGTAATCTCGCTTGCCGCCCATAGGCAAGAAATCCAGCTCTCGGTAGCGAGGTTGAGTATGGTGGCGGCTGAGTTCCACAGCAGCAGCTAAGGCCGGCGGTCCGTGCCGCGCGCGAGCACTGTGTATGTTGTAGCGAAGTCGAGCTCGGCGACGACGCAATTTCCGGTGCCAAGCCGGAGAGCGGGGTGCAATGGCTGGCGTGCTACGTGCTCTTGTGAGCACTGGGGTCCGGGCAATACCTCCCTCCAGAGAGGTTCGATCCTAGACGCCTGGGTATAGAAGAGCTATTTATTAAGGGTAAAAACCTAGGGGTCCTTATCAAGGGTCCCTTCTTTTACTCTTGGATAGTATCGAAGCCGAAGCTCTGGAGTCTCATAGTCCTCACGGGGTCTGGGATTTGAGTCCCAAAAAGGCCTATTGTTGATGATACAAACCCTGCATTACCCATAATAAGGAATGTACCATAAATCCCATAGTTTCGGGTCCTTAAGGTCATGCAGGATTTATATCATCAACCGTAGGTACTGTTATGGGGGATACTTTTGCAAATCATAATCAGTAATTCCCATTAGAGAAACCCTACATCCTCCCATGTAGGTACTTTGGACCCTTTGGCAGTTGCTAGAACCGTAACACGCAAGTAACCCTAATAAGGGTCCGAAGGACCCAATCATGTCCTTATAATATAGGGTTCGGAGTCTGGGGTTTAGAGCCCAAGTACCTAATGATTCCTCGTAATCATATACGCTCCCAAATACTAAGCTACATGCTGTGAACCACTATCCTCAACCCAAAGGCCTAAGTCTTGGGTCCTTTGGACCAGTCGGGTTAGGGGATAAGGGCTTTACAAGTGTCGGGCTGGAGCGGTTTAGGGCTTGAGGAGATTACGGATTTGTGGGTTTGGGTCGGAGGCTCCCTCAACCGTCATGCTCTTTAAGGGTTTAGGGTAGGGTTTAGGGTTTAGGGTTTAGAGTTTAGGGTTTAGAGTTTCAAG